GGGATAGTAGCGCAATTGGCAGCTTATTAGCAGGTTTTCCCATCAATGAAAAGATGTGCTCTAGCAACACTTCAAAGTACAGCAGCAACAAATTGAAGCAGACATCATATAATAGATACTGCACTATTTTCTTGCAACAATTGTAGTTGAAAACCTGCAGGTGATAAACTCTTAAGACATGACACTGTAAAACTGACCTCAATAGCTTGTGAAGTAAGAAGATGAACAAAGCCAACTTGGCACATATGGATTTGAAAAAGCAAATCTGTTTTTGTTACTGTTTTGAAGTTATAAATCAAAGAGATTAACAAGCACCTGTCAGCAAATATATGAAAGCTCATGGGGAAGGGCTGAGGAAAATTGGGATATTATTGCTGTTGTTTTGTTTTATTTTATTTTGTTTTAAGGACAGGGAAATAATGGAATGGAAAGAGAGAGATCTTAGCATTTTAAACAACAACAACAACAACAACAACAACTTGGGATTGTAGGTGATATGCAATTTATTCTAATGTCTCATTTAATCAAATGACAACTCAGTGTGAATTGAGCATAGGACTGCAGTTTTCATTTGGAGGGTTCTCTCTCAGACTGATTTTCTCATGTATTGTTTCCAATGAAAGAGTTGTTTGTTGTAGATGGTTAAACAAAAACTTTGGAAATTTCAAAGCATGAGTGGGAAATATGTGACCCACTAGATGTGGCTGAATTGCAACTTTCATCATCTTTGGCCTGCATACGCTGCAGTGATAAACAATGGGAGCTGCTGTTCAGCAGCATCTGAACAGCCACACAATTTTCATGCCTGTTTTAGGAGGGCATCTGTTTGTCAAAAGGAAAACAAAAAGGGGAAAAGGAAGGGAAGCTTGCATACAGTATTGACAAAATTTCCAGCCGTGCTTCAGATGTATTTCAGAATCAAATTTGTTTCAGTGGATTAAAGAGGATGACAGAGTAAACACTGTATATGAACAGATTGTATCTAGTTAAAATTCCTAGTATGAAGCTGATGGCGAGGCCTGGAGTGGTGCACTTTATTTTGGGATGCAGATGCTGACTTGATTAATCTTTGCACACTAAATAGCAAAACTTCAAAATGTTTCTCCCTGATGCAAGCTGCCATGAACAACATGATTTTTTGGTCTCAGAAAATTGGCACATATTCTAAAGTTGATTTTGTTCCTTTCTGTAAAGCATTCAGTTTTGGAAAATACACCCACTGTTGTCTTGTTGCATGGACCTGTAGTAGTGATATTGCATGGGTGGTTTGTATTTTTGTGATTAATCATCTTGTCCTGTTGCATTTGCTGTGTGGTTGTATTCATTCTTGTGTTCACAAAGAGAAGATATACAATTTTCAAGGAGAAACAGAACAGATTTTTTTCTTATGTTGTTTTACACTAAACCAGGGATAGCTTGGGGATTCTCTTGGTATACTGGCCACCCCATTGCCTAACATTCCCTGACCGAGCTGACCCAGACTTTTGGTTTTGGGTGACTTCAACATCCCACTCGAGACCAGCTTGCAAGATCTAACAGGCATGGCTTGGGAGTTCATGGATACCATGACAAACATGGGCCTATCCCAATTGGTCAATGGGCCCACACATTGTGTAGGTCATACCCTCGATGCAGCTTTTAGTACGGAACAGGAATATCAGTGGGCGGAGGTCATAAAAACCTCCGCATTGTCATGGACGGATCATTTCCTGGTCAAGATGGAACTAAAAGCCACTGTCTGCCCCCCCCCCCGGGGGTGGCGGACTTGTTAGAATGGTCCACCCTCGAAGGCTAATGGAACCAATTGGTTTCCAGAAGTCCTTAAAGGGTTTGTTGGTTAGTAATGCTGGTGATTCTGTCGAAGCCTTGGTGGACATTTGGAACATCGATTTCACCAAGGCTATCGACACAATCGCTCTCAAGCGTCCTTTCCAGCCCACTTCAAATCATAAACCCTGGTATAGAAAGGAGCTTAGGAGGATGAAGTGAGCTGTACAATGACTAGAGTGCAAATGGTGGAAGACTCGACTCTTATCCGACAGAACTCGCCATAGGAAGCATTGGTTGCTCTGACCGATGATCTCCGCTTGAGCATCAACAGGGGTAGTGTGACCCAGCTCTCAGTGGCTTTCAATACCATAGATCATGCCATCCTCTTGGACCGCCTGAGAGGGTTAGGAATTGGACGTACCATGCTCTGGTGGTTCCATTCCTTCCTCTCAGGTAGATCCCAGAGGGTGAGGC